AAAGCCATCAGAGATCGTCAACACAATCCACTGGATTTGACTACTCAGGTATAGTACACGGATATTCTTTTTGTGGTCTAGCTTTGTTAGTTGTCATACATCCAAAGCCTTTTTTGGTTTTAAAGCTGTTCAAGTTCATGTTCAAGTTCGTTTAATTTATATAGCACTTTTCACAATAGACATTGTCTCAAAGCAGCTTTACAGTAAACCAACAAGTTTAAACTCAACAAAGAGAAAAAATTAATTAATAAGTGGTGTATATGTCCCTGATGAGCGAGTCCCTGGCGACTGTGGCAAGGAAAAACTCCTGTGTGCCGTTCACTTTGTATTTTGTGAATTAACAGAACACATTTCAAGAGTTTGATATTTCTTGAATGTTATTCAGGATTTTGAAAAAGACTTTTCGAGTTTCCAAGAACAGGTATCTGATTTTGACCGGCGACTGTCCAGAATCATGTCTCTGGCCTTCCAAGATTGCTCAGGGTTGGAATCCATGTTCAAAGTAAGTATTGCCTATTTTGATTGGGACAGTCACAATACTGTTGCTTTGATATAACCAACTCTTTAAAACTTATTGGAAGCTTATCGCTGTGCTCAAACCCTTCTTGGAAAGAAAGACAATCAAAGAAACTTTTATTCCCAATTACTACAAAGTGGCTGAGCTTTTTAGTGAGGACTTGGATTCATGCAAACAGCTGTTTGATTCCAACCTCGAGCAGGTAATCTGCACAATGTTATTCAATGATGAACATCTTACGGATGACTAAATGTGTAATTTAATTTCAGAAAAGAAAGAAGAAAGCCATGCTTTCCAACAAGAACATGCCTGCTATGACTGGATCTCTGAAGTGGGCAAAAATGCTTAGAGACAGAATTGAAATCCCTTGGAACTGTTTTGGATTCATTCTGGATTTGTGAGTTCTTCATAATTGAGGCTATGGAACAGACGTAGCATGTTGGAGGTGGATCACATACCTATCCGTTGCACCTCTTTTAATATCTCTAATATCACTTGGGATGCAAAGTAAAGTGAGTTTTTTAGGGGTATCGAAAACCTAGTTGCAGCCCATTACCAAGTGCACCTTTTTTGTAGAATAGTAGGTGCATCACCTGTAAACCTTTTTTATTATTATTATTATAGCAAACAAACTATTCCTTAATCTCAAACCTAAACCAAATTCTAATTAATGTAAACTGTACCATGTCTGCTATTCATTAGCATAATGCCAACAATGTTGATTTGGCAATAGTATAATCTTCCAATAGTTTTGTATTCCACCAACGAAAAGGCAAAAGAGGGTGAACTATTACATATTTGTATTTAATTGATTTTTATAAAAAAAAAGGGAATATAAACAAGTTTTTCATGTGTTGTGCTAGGAACATGGAAGAGCAGGTAATACAGCAAGTCTGCCGTAAGTACCAAGAAATGTACTCTCTTCTGGATGATTATGAAAAAGATGTCTATTTGAGCTGGTGCGGCAGTATAAACGAAGTCTGCCAGATGAACCTGGACCAGCCGCTAATCAAACGGGATCCCACAACTGATCTACTATCAGTAAACGTCAACCTGGAGGTGATGAACTTAATTGTAGTACCTTTCAATCAACCGCGTCATACCATAAGGCATCAATTTCCATTCTGTAGTAAGTAATTTGTTGTAATTAATTTGCATGAAATTGAACTTTTTCACCTCAGTTGATTGCTGTGTTCAAGGATGTCAAACATCTGAAAATTCTCAATCAGATGAGCATTCCTTCTACTGCATTGAAGGTTTATGAAAATAGAAACATTTTCAGTGAGGTAAGGGAATGGTCCATCTTTAGTCAGTTTTTTTATTCACTCTGCTCATTTCGGCTGTGTACCCAATCTTCACCAGGTCCTTGGGGGCCTGCAGCTACTGGTGCAGGGATTTAACAAAGTGAAACAGACCACTCTTAAAGTGGAGCTTCCCCTTGTGAAAGTTGAGATGGAGCCCATTCATCAGCAGCTCTGTCATCTAGAATATGAGCTGACATGGGAAAACCAGAAGAGCTGGAGGTTCCTCTGCACCTTGAAGGATGCTCTCTGTGAGCTAGAGAGAAGGCTTCAGAAAGCTAAAGTGAATATTGAGACAATAAAAACTCTAATGAAAGAATGGAGTAGATTACCAATGTTCTGCAGGAGAGAGCAGAAAAAAGACTCAATGCTACAACTGGAAGATAAATCTGCGAGAATCGCAAAAAGATTCTTTAATCTAAGAAAGGATAGTGAAACAATCCACAATTTGCTGCAGGTGAGAGAAAGCACCTTTTAAACAACACTGTCACCAAATAATAACCTTGCATTTCATATTTCAGGAAAATTTGACCCTTTTCAGAGCTGATGGGTCTTCAAAAGCATGGAAAGCCTACTTGGAGTTTGTAGATGACATGGTGGTGGATGGCTTCTGCAAAGCTATTTCAACGTCTCTGGAGTTTTTCCTTGAAAACATGGGCAGAGTAGTTGGCCGGGCTCCTTTGATTGATGCCCAGTTGCTTCTACAGGGCACTGAGATTAAGTGTAAACTCGCCCTGGATCAAAACTGTGGTAATGAGCTTTATGAGTTGGTGGAAGAACTACTTGGGGATGTGTTCAAGATGTCTGCCCAAGTGAAGAGGGTGGCACCTCACCTGAACTTGGAGGACTACCAGGTACATAAATTGTAGATTCCAAAAGATTGGGATTTACATTGGAATTAAATCTTGTGTGTCCATGAAGATCACATTCTACTTTTTCATATTCTTCAGGCAGACATGTTAGATCTCATGGACCTCCGAGAGGAAATTATGGAGAGAGTTGAAAATGTCATGAGAAAAGCCTCAGAATACCAGGACACATTTAACCATTATAGTCCACTGTGGTTGGAGGACAGGGGAGAGTTTCTCAGACAGTTCCTCCTCTATGGTCATGTACTGACCGCTGAAGAGGTTCAAGCCTATGGAGAGAATGCCTTTCCTGTAAACCCTCCAACTACAGAGCAATTTAAAGAGCAGGTGAAGATGTTTCCATTTGAGAAATGTAGCTTTGCTCTATGAATGTAGATGTTTTGTTCCAGGGGTTGGTTTGGGATTCAATTGTGAGAGATCAAATGCCTCTTAATGGTTTAAAAAGCAAGGAATTGGTAAGATATCATAGTAGAGTCTGTTTGGGACCTCTTCCTGAATTCAATTGCCAATGTGTTTTTGTTGAACTCAGCTATGGTCACTACCCTTGGAACTTACTAGAAGAATGAGAACTGCTCAAGCTATTCTGTGAAAGAGAACAGATTTTTCTAGATGTCCACCAAGAGGTACCATGTGTTGAAAGCCAGATTTAGTGGTTGTATACTTTAAGTAAGCCCTCCCACCAGCCACAGTTTTCTCTGACCTTAGCAATACAGAGCAAAGGAGTCTACCTCTTCTTGGTACAGGCTTGTCACCATTTGATGGGACTATTTGAGAGATCTAAACGGGATATATTTATCTGACTGAAGCTCCTTTTTGGTTCTATTTTTTAAAGAATCTGGTGTCAGAAGGGAATTATCTATCCACTCAACGAGAAGACCCATTTCTAAAGCAATGGCATAGTCCAGAGAGCTTTCCAAAGTGGTGGTGTCTTCCAAGTCCAGTCTAGTGGGACTTGAGTGTCCCAGAGATCTACAGATGTCCACTGTGCCGAGTCCCTGGATCCAAATGGTCCTCAATAAAAGACTCCACAAAAGAAATCATTCTCTTTGATCTCACACAGTCTCGTTTAGTAGGGTCATGAGGGAAAATATGTATTTACACATGAAAAATCGTCATCCCACACTGATGTTGAGAACTTCCCATCAGAGGTTAGAAGTTTGTGACAAGATGCATGATACATGCTTTTTCCCATCCTGACCAACACATGTCTACCCTGAAGCAATGGCAATAACAGGCAAAATTCTGCATTTGCTAAGCTGGACTCTCTTTTGTAGGATTAGATTAGGGGAGACCAGTGATAATTGGCCAGACCAATTGTGAACAGTGAGTTAATTGGTTTGGTTGGATAAACACAGTGTCCAGAAGCAGTATTTGACTGACTCCTTGGATCCGTGGCTTATGTGTTTGCTCGAGAACAAACCTAAAGTTTCTGGCAAAGGGCATTTTGAGAAAGAATGTGTAAACATTGCCACTTGTCCATGGTCTTGAAGCTAGGAAATGAATGGGACATTAGGGTCTATCATCCTTGGGATTAATTTGATCATGAAGCTGAGGATAGGAGTCACTGCAAGTCGAGCCTTAAAGGATACAGTATGGGGAAGTCCAGACACTGAAATTCAGGAGTGATTGTTCTCCCCCACTTGATTCCCCAGTTGTGTTTTGGAACTGACTGAAAGGGAGTTTTAAGGAGAGGTTATCACTGAGTTATCTCTTTGCAGATGAATCATTATGAAGTGCTTCACAGAGAAGTGAGCAGTTTGGAGGACTGCAAGGTATTTGACGGCTGGTTTAGAGTCGATGTCCGACCATTCAAGATGAGTGTTTTGAACACCATCAAAAAATGGAGCTTGATGTTCAAGGAGCACCTTATGTCCTACGTAACAGACAAGTGAGAGCCCCTTCCAAGTTAACATCAGTGTAACTCCTTTGACTCATGCCGACTTGTAATCTTTATGATTTTAAGTCTGGGGGAGCTGGAGCAGTTCATGATGCAGGCAGGATCCCGTCTGAATGAGCCGGTGTGCAGTGGAGACTACCAGGCACTGATAGAGGTGATGGGCTACCTGCTCGGGATCAAAAACAGACAACACAGAACCGAGCAGCTTTTTCAACCTGTCCAAGATGTAGCCAATCTTCTGGAGACGTTTGGAGAAACTGTACCAGAAACTGTCCTTGTTCAACTTAAGGTTTGGCATTTTACCTTAGTTCTTAGTTCTCCCAAAGTATATATTTTCAGTAGGACCAAGTATGGAGTGACACATACGAGGAATTTGTTTAATCCAAGTGCACACACACCCGGGGTACTGCTAAGTAATGGTAAAGCTGGGGATCGAACCAGCGACCTTTTGATCTCCAGTCAATCACCTTATCCACTAGGCCTTCAAATAAAGCTGGAACAGCTTTGGGCAGTCTTGGCCTAGTGGATAAGGTGATTGCCAAGGATAAGCCAACATCTTCAAATAAAGCTGGAACTAGAGGTTACTAAACTCTAAAGGTTTAAATGCTTTCAGGAGCTTCCAGAGAAATGGAGCAGCCTGAAGAAGTTTGCTTGGACTGTGAAACACGAGCTTGCTCCTCTTCAAGATGTGGAGGTCACTGTTATACGCAGGAAGTGTGCTGCTTTTGAGGTGAGCTGTCTTTAAGATGGCGGATAAATCAAAGGGACAGTGGGTTTCTATGTAGTGTTTTATACAATACAAATAACAATAACAGTTGTTCTTTATTGCCAACTGAAGACAGTTTAATAATATTTCATTGTCCGTCTGAAGTCCAAAACATCTAAATGTGCCTCATGACTGTACTGTGTTTTCTGAATTTTTAGAAAGAGCTTATACAGTTCCGAGAGCGGTTCAAAACAGAAGCTCCTCTCCGCTTCAACACGAAGAAGCCCTATGCTCTTCTGGATAACGTAACCTTTAATTCAAACTGTTGTGACACATCTTTAATAAAATAGTCAGTGCACTGAGGATCTGACGTGATGCTGTGTCCATGGCAGTTTCAGAAGGGGATGCTGGCTCTGCTGGAGGAGAACAGGGAACTGTTGGAGGCATGTAACTTGTTTGAGGTCAGCAGTCCTGATTTGAAACCTCTCAAGCTCTGTCAGAAAGATGCGGGAGTGTTGAAACTTCTCTGGGATCTGCTGCTCTACGCTCAGGTGGAGCCCTTCTTACATTTCAGCAGTATTTATTGTTGTTCTGTACTAAAGCCTCTATCAACACAGAGCAGTATATCAGCATGGACATGTACAAGATGGAGGGAAATCAACGTGGAGGAGATGATGACGGATATACGGAGGTTCACAAAGGTAAAAGCTGCTGAATATTTTTAGTTTAAGCTCTAGACGATTAATATGTTGGCTTGACAAACTTTTCCAAGACATCCCAACTGGTCTTATTCAGGTTGCTCTTTTCATACCTGATAAAGGAAGTGACTGAGAATGCACTTGACTGAACCTCATAGAAACTTCAAAATGACCAAACTTTTAGAGGTTAAAGGTCTGTGCAAGAATATACCAACAACTGTGCAAAGGTATTTGAACCCTAGGCTCTATAACTGGTTAAAAACTTACCTTTGACTTTTAATGGCCATGGAAAAATAAATGGGACAAATATATCATCAAGATGAAACATCATAGAGAAATGGGGGTTCCCTAGCAACCAAACTGTTTACCCTAGCAACATTTTCTGGACTCTAACTTTGGTAAATGATAGTTTGGTGGCTGGTTTATAGTGACAAAGGCAGGCAAAAGTGACTGATCCATAGCAACCTAACGTCTTATCCTAGCAACCAATTTGCTAGAAGCTTAGCTCAGATTTAGGAAATCATAAAGACATAGAATGCAATGTACGTTATGTAAACGTGTGACCCCTCCATAGCAACGCGAACATTTGACATAGCAACCAAATTTGCACATGTATATCTCAGTTTATGAAAATAATTGCAACATGGGGGTTAGCTTATGTTACTCATAGGGACATTGGGAACTTTGGTATTTTACACTTTTGAACATTGAACTTTTGCACTTCCTTTTTTGTATACATCATGGTCTTGTTAAATTTCATATAGCACCATCAACATTTATATAACATTTATATAAATATTTATATTCCAGTTTAGAAGAGTGTCCTCAATTGTCCTTAACATTTATTGGATGAAGGTTTACAATGTAGAGGTATTCTACTAAAGTAATCATGAGCAATGGAAATTCATGTTTTCCATACAAACAAATGAAACAAAAAAAATTAAGAATACTGTAGTACACATGAAATCTAAACTTGCCATAAATCCACACAAACCGATGTCGGAAAAGTCAAATTATTTGATTGAAATCTCTCTTTCTGTGGTTAAGACTTCACACACTCTGGGAACATGGTTTGCCATGAAATAAACCTTTTTTAATTCTCCTCCACTTTCTGCCACCATCTATTAGCGATAAACTGAAAATAAGCTAAATTCACGAATGCAACTCTAATAAAGAATTAATATGAAATTCTGGAAATGTGAACATTTCGTTATTTTTTTGCCTCCAGGAGATGCATGCTCTCAATAAAGAGGCTCGATCCTGGGACGCTTACACGTCTCTGGAGCAGATGCTCAGTGATCTGATGGTTTCTCTCAGGGCTGTGACAGAGCTCCTGAACCCAGCCATGAGAGATCGACACTGGGACCAGTTACTGAGAGATACTGGGGTGAGACAGATTTGTTTCTTAAGTGTTTCTGCATAAACAAGCTACAATACTGTGTTAAAATGTGAGTGTTACTCATTTATTTTCATCAATTAGCAAAATGTAGTGTGTGAACGAAGGAGAAATCTACTCCAAATCAATATTTGTTTCCTTTGCCTTCAACACACCAGTAATAGTTGTAGGTACTCTTTACTGGTAGGTTCTTGACTCGACTGGTAGATTATTCTAAACATTACTTTGTTTCTGCGTGTACCTCTCCTTTTCACTCTGACTCTTACACCACTAGCTCAGGTTAATAAACGCATTTGAGGATCAAAAAAGCAATGACTTGGATGTACTTGTATTTAGGTGGCTCTCACGCTGACGGAGGGGACGTCTTTGCAGGATTTGTTGGCTCTGCAGCTCCATAGATTTGAGGAAGAGGTTCTCACTGCTGTAGGGAGAGCAGTCAAAGAGATGTCCACTGAGAAGGTCCATAAAGCTTTTGTTGTGATTGATTCTGTCTGATGATGTTCTTCAGAATACTCTCTTTTATTTGAAATGAAGGTTTTGGATGACCTCAGCGAGATATGGGCGCGGATGGAACTATCTTATGAAGAGCACGGCTCTGGTACGCCCGTGCTTAGGTGCAGCGATGAGCTCCTGGAGAGTTTGGAGGAGAGTCAGGTAGGTCGGAAAGAAGATGTGCTTGAAAGTGCTCAAAAAATACATTTAACTTGTTTTTTCCAAACAACTTCATCATTTTAGTTTAAATGTTTCCTTATATCAGTTTTTTTTTATATCTGTAATGTTGTTTAATCAACTCACATAATCAAGTGTTCTCTGAAGTCCAAAGATGTGCCAGAGAAGCAAAACATCTATTCCGCTATGTCACAATCTCACTAGGCCAGAACAAATCACTGTCAAGCACTCCCCCACGAGACATTTGTGCAAGAAAGACGTGCGCGTATGTTCAAATCATGGAGAAAACGTTTAAAAAAAATTAGTTTATTTGAAGTTCATTTCGTTATTTTTTTCACAAAAGTTTTTTTTTTTCATTTGTTGTCTTAAAAGATTTATTTGTTTTTAGTACTGTTTTTTAATATTTAAATAACTAACGTCAACTAGATTTTTGCTTCTATACATGATATAAAATATCCACAATGCATCGTCATGGATAATATCCCATGTTCTGCCTCAAGTTTTTCACAAAAATATTTTTTTTCATTCAATTTAAATATTGTTTTGACCTTGTCTTTGCTTTTTGGGGGAATTTATGAGTTTTTATTTTCTCTAAACACTTCTGATTTTTGTTATAAAACATAAAAACAAAAGTTTTTTGCAGTAAAACAATGACAAAATTTAATATAATTACAAAAAAATGACAAAATGTAATTTATAATGTAATGTAATTTTATAATTATTGTATAATGTAAGTAAAAAATGTGTTGAAAAATAGTAAAAAAATGTGTGTATTATGTTTTATGAAAAAATTATATCAAGCATTGCTTAAAAAAACAGTTAATTTATTAGAGCAAATTGTAAAGTAATAAAAAATACCCAAAAGGCCCTGGACTCCTAAAGGTTAAAAGCTGATTCCTGTGCTACTACCCCACAGATTTATTACTTATTATTGAAGCCATGCACAGTTTAATGTGCCCGATGTATCCAGGGGTTTATTCTGGCTCTCTGTGTAATATCTAACAGTGCCAGGAGCACAATATTTCACTGTCAGCCGCCTGTATTCACAATACAGTCCCGACCACACATCGCTGGCTTTGTTTCCAGCTGTATTCGGAGGGCACAAAGCTAGCCAACACCAACACATCACTGTGTACAAAGAATCCAGCGTTGGTGTGTTCACAAGTCTGAGAGCATTCAGGAGAACAGAACAACACCCACAAACACATCGACTAGATGCGGGCTGCTCAAAAAGATAGTTGAAAACTGTTTCAAACGATTCAAAGACTGATTGATTTTGGACGATTAAAATTAGTACTTGGTCTGTAAATGAAAGAAACTCATAGAAAATACTTTCTTGGATTGATTGGCATCCAATTAATGACCTGAAACGCATTCCACAAGCCCTACATCAGATAAACCCTTATAAAGTCATTGGGGTCACATTGGTAGAAAGGCTGGTACATCTTCATGAATTTGGATATTAACGTAGACCATCAACTGAGGCAGTCTGTGAAATCCTTTAACCCATCAATTTCCTTCATATTTAAGGGTTTAGTCAATCTTTTTACCTTTTAATTGTTCCTTTAATGCCTTTATTAACCACTGGACAGTGGAGGAATGGGCGGAGAGAACTGGTCTATGTCATAATTCGCTATCCTAGGTTGCACAATATAATCCAGCTGCAATGCCGGAGTGGCACCTTGTTAGGCACTGCATGGTTAGGCACTGAACCGTGAGCTTTTTCAAAATCGAGAATCAAATTCCCATCTCTGAATGCATGAGTATTAATGAGGACTAAAATAGGGCAAACTAACGCACTGTCCACATTTCTAAAGAAATAAACACATTTTACTGAAGTTGATAATCATAATCACCATTAAAATTGAGAATTAAAATAAAAATCGGTCTTGTTGCATTAAATGTTTCAGAAATCAAGAAATAAAAAAGTTTGAAAATACGTACATACGAAACCAGAAGGGTAAGAATTAAGATTAAAGTTAGGGTTCGACTCCTCGTCAAGTCTTTAAAACATGGATTCC